GTTTCCATTAATTTTGGTTTTCTTCTTTCTTCTTGACGAGGAGAGACCCGTTGTTGCATCTAGATGGCAGCTTCCTAGCTTTTAAGGTCCCAGTCGTTATAGCTCAATTCTTAACCAAAGTCTTGTGGGGAACTTTGCAGATTTCTAGAGCACTCTTTTTCTCTGTGGCTTACCTCTTCTCTGATACTCTGCTTCAAAAATATTAACCACCTTCTCCTCCCTAAACTCAGAATTCTGGCTTCCAAATCACCAAAACAGCTGGGCTCTGTTTGTATTCTGCCTCACTGCACTTAGTTTCTCCAGCCTGTGAGCTGGGGCACTTGGTGGGCTTACCTAAGTTATTCTTTCTTTTAGGCATTAATGTCTTACACTGTTTGTTGACCAGTGTTTGAAAGCCATTTTTTTCCATGTGTTTTGTCTAAATTTTAGTTGCTTAAGGCTGGAGGGTAAACTCTGTTCCTGTTACTGCATAAAGGCTAGAAGCAGAAAGTGTTCCTCTAGGTTTTATCCTGCTGTTTCCTTGTTATCTTCTCAATTCTTTGATGCTTTTAAGGATTTTAAAAAGTATTTTATACAGTTTGTTTAGTTTTTTTTTTTCAATCATCACCATAAATAAGTTAGTGGCAATTTTCTCTTCCAGGTACCATCTTTACCATATCCTAGATGCCTATTTTTTTTTTTTTTTTTTCACGGAAAGTTTGGTTTGAATAGCCTAGGCCATCATTACCAGAAATGGAAATCCTTGTTTAATTAAAATTTAATTAAAAATTGTTATCAATTAAAAAATAGAGATTCTATGATAGCTTCGTTAAAGTAGACCAGTTGGATGAGAGAAGTTGCAGGATACTGTGTTTGCTTTGGACAGTTACAAAGAAGCTGGTAGGCCACATGATTTTGGTAGGCCGTGGTGGGTTTCCGAGACTTGGCCTGGTTTTGTGTGGTATCGATACTAGATAACCAAACCAAACTCACTGCCGTCTAGTTGAATCTGACTCATAGCGACCCCTCCTTGGGTTTCCGAGGTGATATCATTACAGAGGTACTTGCCCAGTCTGCCTTATCAGGAGTGGGTGGTGGGTTTGAACCACCAGCCTTCTGATTAGCAGTCAAATGCCTTAGGCACTATGCCACCAGAGCTCCATGGATACTATATAATATATTATTAATAGTCCAGTAGGTAGGATTCTTATAGTCTAAAATAATGGAATAAGTTGAAAGTCAGAATGGGACAGTTACGATGGTTTGTCTTGATTTTCACCTAGATATTCTACATTTTCTCATTTCTCTACACTGTCAATTACATCTGGTACCTGTACACAGAGCTGAGGATGAAACACAACCAGAGTGGACAGAGCACATCTCCACTGGTGAGTTTAATTCAGAGCTGATAGTTAAGGATAGTCTGCTAGAACAGACTAATAAATCCCTGATAATCAGTGTAAGTAAGCACTAAGCACTGGTGAGGTGAATTGATGGAGGTTAATAAAAGAAAAGCCATGTTCCCACAGCACTTCCATTCTATTGGCATGACTTTCTCTTCTGCCTTGCCACCAGGGGAAAAAAAAGTTTTGACTATAGGGAACATTTAAACTTCTGCCATTCATACCTTCAGTTCCATTCAGTGAGGGAATTCTTCCTTGCCAGTCCACTGTTGTTGCTAGAGTAAAGAGAAAGGCCTTGGAGGAGAATCAGGGAAGTGGCTCTGTCTGCCAACATGAGATTTGGGCTGCAGGTATTGGAAGGGGAAAGTGTTTGTTCGGCTGTGCCACATTTCTTTGGTAAGTGTGCATGAGGGCTACTGGTTGGGAAAAGGGCAGAGGAATTCATGTGTGGCAGTCAGAAAACAAGGTGGATCTAGAGAGCAAAATCTGGCTTTCTTTGGTTCACAAACACAATTTCTGACACTATCTAGCATTACAGTTATGAAGGAGAGGAGAAGAACATTAATTGAGTACACGTAGATTTCAGGGGGCATATTTTACATATTCTGGTGGCATAGTGCCTAAGGCATTTGACTGCTAACCGGAAGACTGGTGGTTCAAACCCACCAACCACTCCTTGGAAGGAAGATTGCATTCTACTTCCATAGAGATACCACCCCAGAAACCCAAGGAGGGGTTGCTATGAGTTGGGAATGACTTGATGGCTATGAGTTTGTATTTTTTTATAATTATTATTATTTTACATATCACATAATTCACCCATTTCAAGTGTATAGTTAAATGATTTATAAAGTAAATTTATTGAGTTTTGCCATCATCACCATAAATCAGTTTTAGAATATTTTCTTCACCCTAGTAAGATCCTTTATGCCTGTTTAGTATTAATCTCCTTCCCACCAAACCACTACTAATCTAGTTTATATTCTATACCATTACCTTTTCTGGGACATATTATGAAAGTGGAATTATGCAATCTGTGGGCTTTTGTGTCTGGCTGCTTTTATGTGGCATAATGTTTCTGAGGTTCATCTGCTGTACCTTGTATCAGTATATAATCCATTCCTTTTTGTTGCTAAATAGTATTCCATTGTATACTACACCTGGATTCTTACTTCTGATTCTCTTAGTATTAACCCTAAGTGGTCCTGGAAAAATGACTTTTTTATGATGTTAGAATTTTTTTTAATTTAATTTTGTATTTTTGCAGTGTTTCCTCCCTTCGCCTCCCACCCCTGGTAACCAACAAAGGAAGTTTCTTTCCATATATAAACCTTTCCATGACTTTTTATGGGAGCTCTGGTGGCATGGTGCCTGAGACATTTGCCTGTTAGTCAGAAGGCTGGCAGTTCAAACCCAGCCACTCCTCGGGAGGAAGATTGGGCAATCTACTTCTGTAGAAACCAATGAACTAATACAATATTTGTCCTTCTGTGATTGACTTACTTAACTCAGCATAATGTCCTCCAAGTTCATCCATGTTCTGTGACATTTTGCAGACTCTACATAATTGTTTAATGTTGCATAGTATTCCATTGTATTTATGTACCACAGTTTGATTATCCGTTCTTCTGGTGATGGGCATCTAGGTTGTTTCCGTCTTTTTGCTATTGTAAGTAGTGCTGGGGTGAAAAATGGGTGTGCATATATCTGCTCTTGTCTTGGCACTCACTTTAGGATATATACCTACTAATGGGATTGCAGGAGCTCCGGTAGTGTAGTGCCTAAGGCACTTGACTGCTAACCAGAAGGCTGGCAGTTCAAACCCACCAGACACTCCTGGGAAGGAAGGTTG